TGAAATAAATAAAATACTAAAACTGTTATAAAAATAAATATTATTTTTTAGCAAAATTGTTTTTTTAATTTATTTTACGTTATATGTATTGGAAAACGTTATAGTCAATTGATTATTGTTAAAAATAAGAACGTGTGATACAACATTAGTCATAAATATAAAACACCCTCTTGATTTACATTTTTTTGGAAAAAGGCTGTAATAAAATCGAAAGGGAAACTAACAACATACAAAAACTTATAAAAATAAATATTATTTTTCAATAAAACTGTTTTTTTAATTTATTTTCAGTTAGATGTAGAACATCACTTTGTGGAGGTGCTTTATACTTTTGGTCAAGGATGTATTATATATAAGGTAAGTCCTTCTAGTTTATTGGAAAGACTTACTTTGAGTCCCTGAACGTTAAATAAATTTTCTTCTGGCACGATTACGTTGTCCATTAGAATCATGCCGGTGATGGACGTTCTTAGAGAAAACTTCCCTTCAATCTTTTGGGTAGACAACCGATTTCCCGCAGCTTCTCTCTCGATGACGAACCCACGGATCTGACCGTCATCACATTTCGCCCATACTATCAACACGTCGGCGACAGCGAGTTTGTGATCCTAAACGAGATTCGACAGTCTGACTTTTGCGCTCAAACGTAAAAGAAACGGTGGAAAGTACTAACCATGTTTTGCTGCTGTTCAATTTGTAGACCTTTTTATCGGAGTCGTAAATGGCTCTAGTCTCCATGGCTCCTGCGTCACTACCATGATTGGGCTCCGTCAAGCCAAAACAACCGATCTTTTCCCCGGAAACTGAAATACACTTTGAAAGCTATCGCCCACATCTCCAATGGTAATCGTCATTCAATCAATTTTACTAGCAAACTTATACAATTGTATTAATTAATCTCAATTGTCGATCTAATTTTCATAATGTAAAAATTAAATATTTTATTTCCGCTTTATTTCTTATAGTTATCGAAAATAAATAATTATATAAAATTCAAGAACCTGGTAATTTTTTAATATAATTTAGAATAATAGTCTTACACAATTTAGAATAGTTATTAATTATCTTGTATCTAAATAATCTATGATTTTCACAACAATAGAGAAATTTTTACTTATGTTGTTAGAGATAAAAGATTTATAATAATTTAATATTTGCAACTTCAAATCGTTGATGACTATACGGTTTATATGTAAAAGAACATATTAATTAGTCAGTCAAGCAAACAATATGTGAGGTACAATCTTCAACTATGATTGATCCTCCATCACGATAATAATTATTATTATTAATTCTACAATTATTATTATTTAATAATAATTACTAATCATATGTTTTCATTAAAACTTGCGTTGTTTTTATGCTCTCCCCTTTTCAATAATATTAATTTATTCTCAAAGCTATTGTATTAATTATATACTAATTATACAATTTAGAAATTAAAGAACGTAATACTACCCTAGAATTCTACCCTAAGAAACGCTTGAACACACCCATTTTAGGTAGAAATCGTTCTTTTTGAGCATCGCTGCCGAACATGTAGATCGCACCGATCGAAAGAGAGGATTGCACCGAGAACACCGATCGATAACCGCTGTCGATTTTCTCAATTTCCCTGGCGAGGAGCCCGTAAGCCACTGAGGATACTCCGGCGCCGCCATAGCCTTTCATGGTGCAGCCCAACACTCCGAGCTGTCCCATCTGCTTTACAATCTCCCGATCGAAGTGTTCCTTTCGATTCGCCTCGATCACGTTCGGCAGGAGCTGCTTCTGGCAGTAGGAACGAAACTGATCCCACATCAGGATTTCGTCCTGTGTCAATTGTGACTCTAGATCGAACGGATCCTCCCAATTGAAGGCGGCTGACCCACGAAATTCAATACAAATTTCAATACAAATTTTTAATAAAAGATCGATCGAAATTATACGCGATTTGAATTAATTTTTAAGATGACCCTGACGAAAACTATATTAAAGTTTTTGTATTCTGATTTAAAGTTGTGTAAAAGTAAAATGCAAATATTTCGAATTGTAAAATACATTTTTATTTAACAATACAATAAAATATATTGACAATTTTACGGTTTAACTAATTTTTATATTTATATTAAACACATTTACGACAAATTTGTGATTGACAACTTTAATGTTTATCAATACGCATACTGAGAATATTCAATGAAATTCATTATTAGAAAACAAGATTTCTTTTAAGTTTCTTTATTAAAAAGCTGTCATCTTCAAAAAGTTGAGAAGTATTTTTCAGAAATCTTCATAAATTTAAATTAAAATTTTTTTAAACAATATGAGAAATATATTATGAATTTTTTTACTAGAAGATTGAATATTTTTTTATAAATTTCTTTTCTTACAATATTCAGTACAGACGTTATAGTAGGGGAGGCCAACCGGGGATTTTGGGATTTACTCGAGCGCGTCAGAATAA